ACTAAAGTAACTGTAACATATACCCGCTGAAAATTAGTGTGGCCATTGGTTTGCACCTGCCTACCTGTAATTAAATTACAACCTGTCCCTGAATATAACATTTCTTTACTTAATGTCACAGTTAAGCTGTTAGCACTATGTTTGGGAGGTTCTGACTATTTTAAATGAAGTTGTTGATGGTTTTCTTCAGTCCCTCTGGGTAAATGTCAAGATAGTATTTGAACTAAGTTGTGACCACTTCCTTCCATATTCAGTAACCATTGTAGCATTTGATGCTGTATAGTTTGAAGTACTGAAAGTGTCATCAAGTAAACCACAAATAAATAAATAATATTTTTCTGTGTTGAAGATTTTCCCTTCATATCTTTATTATTGCAGGTGACAAGGTGTTGCTTTTAGACATTATTAATTTCATGCATTTCTGTTACTCTCTGCCATCATGACATTGACCCCCACATAATGTAGGTTGCTGGTCATTAGGATTCATGGGTAAGATAACATTTTGGACTTTGTAAGCAATATCTTATCAGTGTTTGATATGAAACAGTGGCATGTGCATATACACGTGTGCTTCATTAAGGGAGAGAGAAAAAGATAAAATTGAAGACACACAGTACTTCTCATATACTCAATTTGATAACCTAGTAATATTTTTGTACAGTGTAATTGTAGTACTGTAGAAAGAAACCAATTTCTGTGGATAAAAAGTAGTCATGAAAATAAATTGTTCTCATCCACAGTACAGCATTCTAACTGCATCAATCAACTACTTTTATAAAATCGCAAAAATCATAACTTAGTGAAAATCACTTACTGTGATCATGGCAAACTTGGTTTGCCAATCATTTCCAGCACGTGACGGAATGAAACGGTCACCGCCGTTGTTCATACGTCCTGGAGTCCGATGCATAAATGAAAAATGTGACTGCAAGTATGGAAAATATATCAGTAGAATCTCACAATTCCTTTAACCATATATTATAAACTTACTAAGGGAACAATACAATATGAAGATAACTGTTTCTGGGACACTGTGCCAAGTAGCCTGGTAGAAATCTACAGATGTTTCAAAGGTGCTTGCTGGGTTCATTATCAGAGTGATGGAGGCCGAATGTGCATCTGAAATAATGTCAGACATCTAACAGACTACATGGTACAACATCCAGAGTAATCTTCATACCTGCTGCCATGAGAATGTGAAATGTCACCAGTATATTCTACGTAACACATTTTTAATTCAGCACTTAAACTGTATTAAATGCCAGAGAAAAATTCTTATACTGAACTGCACACTTCAGTTTTCTGTTTGCCTGAACACAAGACAAAGGCAGCTGCCTACTTTAGCAAGTGAAAACCAAGAAGCATCCTCAGTTCATACACCAGATATACCACTACAGTCAAAATGTTTTCATCACCACTAAACAGTACTATAATAAACAAAGTTATCAGAACAACAAAGCAAATTTAAACTTGGGTTGTAAATGAATCCACACAGTGCTGTTGCAGACATGAAACTTTACATATAGAAACTTTTTACAATGGTGATACATAGATGGAAGGATAATATCAGGCAGGATCTATGGGAGATAGGAGTTGATGGCAACTGGATTTTGCTGGCCCTGGATAAGAACCGGTGGAGGGCTTTGGTAAATTCAGTCTAAGCCATCTAGTTAGTTAGATACAAATATGACCACATGAGTAGAATTTTATGAGGTTATAACATTAGACTGATGCAAATGTAGCAGGCAGGAAACTGTTAAAACAAATGCCTTTTCATTCAATTGTTAAGTATCTGATTATACAGTGACATCTTAGACCCAAGACAATCAGTTAACACAATGTATCTACAAGAATAAAACTGTTTACATATTTTATATGATATCTAAATGTACGGTGGTCTAGCGGTTAGAACGCTGGCCTTGTAATGCTGGGGTCTCGGGTTCGGGTGTCCGAATTTATAACTTGTGTTGGGCAAGGCCGTGGTCTAGGCAACACGGAGTTGTCCTCCGGGGTCTTCCCCGGTTTCTCCGTGGCATCCCAACAATTACTCCATTCACACACAGAAGAAGGCAATGGCAAACCACTTCTGGATCATCTGCCAAGAACGTATATGAACAGGTCCAAGTCCGAGAAAAAGGATGAAAGGATCCTGTTCATATGGACCTGTCGTCAGACAGAACACTACAAAAATAAAAAAAATAATCTAAATGTACCAGAGGTTAATAATATATATACTTACATTACCAAGAAAAATGTCTAAAGATGGTTCCTTCATCTGCTTATACGAGGGTTACTTCAAAAGTCATGCCAAATAATTTTGGGGGCAAACACGTCCAAACACGTTATATTGAAGAAAGTTCATAATATACATATGAAATGGCATGATATACTCCTCCGATTGGCGTAGTCAGGTCAGGTAGGTGTGAATGGATGTAGGTATAGTAGGCAAGAAGAAAGACATTACGGAATGACCTTTTTTTCATTCGGTGCGAGATGGTGAAGCTGATGGTATTCGTCGTCTTCCTCGTCGTTGGCAGGAAGTACTTGATACACTCGAAGACTACTTTGAATGTTGCTAGTCGTAATGTAAGAATTCTGATTTAACTCACATTCAATTTTTGACGTAAATACGTTTATACGGAAGGGTTATTCAGCAAAAACAGCGTTAGTTACGATGTGTAAGATCCAGCGCCGAGTCACCTTTAAATGTTCATTCTTCAGGAATAGTAAGAGTAAGGGTAATGCAGTCTATATGTAAAATGACCAGTAAATAAGAATCTGTAATGTATTTTATTGTAATTATAATTGTTTATACATTTATTGTAATTTTAATGAACCAATGTGTACAATTGTCGATGCATCTGGCGCGTTAAGCGCCCGCCTCTCAAACCGTAAGAGATGGATCGGGACATATTGCGTACGAAATACATATTACCTCTTGAGCTTTCCATATCTGTTTTCAGATTTTACATACCACAAATGGTTTAGGTTCTACAAACATTTATTTGTACAAATAAAGGCGCATCGCACTTCACGCTACTGCTGTGTTTGTGTGTTGCGTCATACTATGTAGAGATAACAAGATGGATGGCATTGAAGCCAAAAGAGTCCGTAATGCAGAATTTATGTGACAGTACAGAAAACGTAAAAAAATAGAAGTATTAAATAATGAACCATGAAGTTCCCCAAAAAAATACCAAAAACTAATGCTGAACGTATGAGGGATAATTAAATAAGCAATGTCTTCATCAAACTATTTACTCAATTGTAAAGCATGTATAAAGGGAATACTTAGAATAAAGCTAATATATAAACTTCCTTTCATTGTATTTATTGCCTAAATGTAATTTAAATACAAAGATGTATTTACGTCAGATTCTCAGGAACCGTGGTTCCACTGTCAATTTTTTTTAATCACAATTGCATTTTTCGAGGATTAAAGAATGAAAACGGTCATTCCGTAATGTGCCTTTTTTCTTGCCTACTATACCTACACCCATTCACACCTACCTGATCTGACTACACCAATTGGAGGAGTATATCGTGCCATTTCATATGTATATTTTGAACGTTCTTCAATATGACGTGTTTGCCCCCAAAATTATTTGGCATGACTTTTGAAGTAACCCTCGTATAAGCAGATGAAGGAACCATCTTTAGACATTTTTCTTGGTAATGTAAGTATATATGTTATTAACCTCTGGTACATTTAGATTATTTTTTTTATTTTTGTAGTGTTCTGTCTGACGACAGGTCCATATGAACAGGATCCTTTCATCCTTTTTCTCGGACTTGGACCTGTTCATATACGTTCTTGGCAGATGATCCAGAAGTGGTTTGCCATTGCCTTCTTCTGTGTGTGAATGGAGTAATTGTTGGGATGCCACGGAGAAACCGGGGAAGCCCCCGGAGGAAAACTCCGTGTTGCTTAGACCACGATCTTGCCCAACACAAGTTATAAATTCGGGCACCGCCGGGAATCGAACCCGAGACCCCAGCATTACAAGGCCAGCGTTCTAACCGCTAGACCACCGTACATTTAGATATCATATAAAATATGTAAACAGTTTTATTCTTGTAGGTACATTGTGTTAACTGATTGTCTTGGGTCTAAGATGTCACTGTATAATCAGATACTTAACAATTGAATGAAAAGGCATTTGTTTTAACAGTTTCCTGCCTGCTACATTTGCATCAGTCTAATGTTATAACCTCATAAAATTCTACTCATGTGGTCATATTTGTATCTAACTAACTAGATGGCTTAGACTGAATTTACCAAAGCCCTCCACCGGTTCTTATCCAGGGCCAGCAAAATCCAGTTGCCATCAACTCCTATCTCCCATAGATCCTGCCTGATATTATCCTTCCATCTATGTATCACCATTGTAAAAAGTTTCTATATGTAAAGTTTCATGTCTGCAACAGCACTGTGTGGATTCATTTACAACCCAAGTTTAAATTTGCTTTGTTGTTCTGATAACTTTGTTTATTATAGTACTGTTTAGTGGTGATGAAAACATTTTGACTGTAGTGGTATATCTGGTGTATGAACTGAGGATGCTTCTTGGTTTTCACTTGCTAAAGTAGGCAGCTGCCTTTGTCTTGTGTTCAGGCAAACAGAAAACTGAAGTGTGCAGTTCAGTATAAGAATTTTTCTCTGGCATTTAATACAGTTTAAGTGCTGAATTAAAAATGTGTTACGTAGAATATACTGGTGACATTTCACATTCTCATGGCAGCAGGTATGAAGATTACTCTGGATGTTGTACCATGTAGTCTGTTAGATGTCTGACATTATTTCAGATGCACATTCGGCCTCCATCACTCTGATAATGAACCCAGCAAGCACCTTTGAAACATCTGTAGATTTCTACCAGGCTACTTGGCACAGTGTCCCAGAAACAGTTATCTTCATATTGTATTGTTCCCTTAGTAAGTTTATAATATATGGTTAAAGGAATTGTGAGATTCTACTGATATATTTTCCATACTTGCAGTCACATTTTTCATTTATGCATCGGACTCCAGGACGTATGAACAACGGCGGTGACCGTTTCATTCCGTCACGTGCTGGAAATGATTGGCAAACCAAGTTTGCCATGATCACAGTAAGTGATTTTCACTAAGTTATGATTTTTGCGATTTTATAAAAGTAGTTGATTGATGCAGTTAGAATGCTGTACTGTGGATGAGAACAATTTATTTTCATGACTACTTTTTATCCACAGAAATTGGTTTCTTTCTACAGTACTACAATTACACTGTACAAAAATATTACTAGGTTATCAAATTGAGTATATGAGAAGTACTGTGTGTCTTTCTGATTTTTTTTGCTTATGTTTGGATTTTGAGTGAGTGTATCATATCATTATTTAAAACTACTATTTGTGATGTACTTCTGTAGCTAATTTCCCATCAGGTCAGGTCTTTTGCCTGAAGTTGTCAATTCCCCATTTTCTATAAGCTTTATGAATTTCTCTTAATGCAAGCTAGTTGTAGGAATGTCAATTAAATTTGTATCTGTTTGTAAATATAGGAGTCTGGCCGTAATGGATTAACTACAAAAAAGGCTCGTGAAAATGGTGAAGGAGGCCGTGACGGATTGGCTTACTCTTGTCTGCTGAAAAATGAACTTCTTGGTGCCAACATTGAAGATCTTAAAGGCCAGTGTGATGAGAGAAGAACATTTAGTCCATTGGAGGGATCAAATCTCTTTCGGGTATGATACCTCTACTTTAGTATATATCAATAGATATCAGCAGTAAGAACAATAATAATAAGAAAATTAATTTTGATTTGTTGAAAGGCTGTAGTCTGTAATTGTTAAAGCTCTTAAAATATGTAATAAATACAAAGAAATAATAAAGAACAAATGAAGTAGGTTTATACAAAGGAAAAGTGTCCTCCAGTGAAACCATATTCCTATTAAAAATATAGAAGATTGGCATATTTAATTGGCAGCATTGGCACATGTGGCAGGACTTTATTGATGTAGTTGGTAGACTGTGCTACAAAAATCAAGTACTTACAATTTTCTAAATCTGTAACAGAACATGGTACATCTGGCATAATAAATCCAATATTCATAATTTTCTCATACGTGAATTTTTCTCTGCCTTGCATTATTACATTTATGTATGCCAGAAACTATGCAGATGTGTGCCTAATTTGAAGACAAACATTAATTAATGTAAATGACTTTTCCAAAATATGTGACTAGGTTCAGCGGCAAAAAACAGGAGAGGACAGCGCTTTGCTCTGACATCTGTAATCTCTGGTAGCATAGCTGGTAGGGTGGAAGACTGGCATTAATTTTAAGATCACCCATGGATATAAGACTCCCAGTGTCAACTGTTTTTATGCATGTTATATCCACACAAACACAGATTTGAACTCTGCAGTTTTATAGTATTTATATAATTGAACTATATGTTTCAAAATTTCCATCTCAAATTGTATTAAGAGCAATGGAAAGCATATACCAAAATATGTAGCTTGTGATATTGAAGAGAGAAGATGTTTGTGTGTAAAGAATATGCAGTCCAGTAATGTTTTGTTAACAAACAGAAAGTATTAATCAAGAGTGCAAGGCAGACAGGTGCACCATCACAGATTGAGTATATGTTGTAAATCTCATTCTGGTGTTCTGCAGGTATAATACGTATTCTACTGCAAGAGTAACATAATGTTTACTGCAAACATATTGTCATGCTTCTACAAGGATGTTAAAGATGTTGGGTTTATTATTGTGATTCTTCTGTTTAGGGTCAGTATTGTAATTTTGACATTGAGGGAAGTGATTGAGTTATGTGGAAACAAAATTGACAGATTTTAGAAATGTGTGTTTATTTAGTGAGATTCGAGGTTCTTACAAGGGTGAGTATGAAGATTGCCTTGATGACAGAGGGAGCAGGTACCTCTGTAATTAAGTTGGTTAACTTCTGCTAGACTACTTAGTGCAAGAACCCAGAAGACAGCCATCTTCATACTTGCTGCCATGACAACTATAATCTCACTTGGTAAACCTTATGGGAAAGCTATTGGTAATTACATTTTGAGATTCAGAACCCTTGGAAAGCTGAAAGACTTTGTTCCCTGTACTTCCTATTGCATTGGAGATACTAAGACATGGTCCCATGCCTCCTACAGTTCCATCATCATATCTACTCATTGCCCAAGTGATGGAGGCAGGAAGCACATTTGAAACATTGGTAAACTTCTACGAGACCACACGGCACTACAACCCAGATGACAGCCATTTTCGTGTTGCTTTAGACTGAAATTGAATACTGTGTATATAAGTAAATGTCATACCTGTTATCAAAGGTTCATTTACATACATACATCTTTATTACATTCCATGGATCCATAAGTTAGTCAGATGACAATAGGATGTAGAATAAGTCATAATAATACAATACATGTTATACAAATACAAGTCATATAAATGTCACAAAAATACAAACAAAGGGTTCACATGAAATAGAGATAAGTTACAAATAAATCCACCCATTATATACAATAGATAAATT